TATTCGTGTACTAAAAATATTCCTTCTTAAATGTTTTCTCTCCACACTCACTCAGAGATACTGATACCTGACGTCTCCTGTCTTCCTCTCCTTGATTGGCTTCAGTGTGATGTTTAGGGAAGCTGCTATTCTTCAGTTCTTCCTGAACTGGTATAAGGTGAAAGAAAGATCATCTGTATACATTGGGTGGAGGATATATGATGTACAACACAGCACGTGTCACTGTGCAGGAGAGGAATCCAATGTAGGGGTCCATTGTATCACTGATGAATCTCAAAATGAAGCAAAGTCCGTCAGATGAGACTTCTGAGGGGTAAAAATGCTTACATCGCACTCAGAATTAATGTAGAGCCTATTTGTAGAGTATCTAATTTAAGCAGAGCTTTTTGGTTTCTTTTGCCACTGTGATGGTAAAAGTTTTCTCTGTGCAATATTTATCATGCAGATTTTTCAATTCAAAAGTTTCCTTTTCCCTTTGTATCAGCGGAGAAGGTATCGTAGCTTGAGCTTCGTGAATGTGCACCGTACACCACAAGACTAGTAATCTCTTTGATAGAAGTAAAAAAAGAATATACATTTTAAATGTGACTGCTGTATGCTGCTGACTCTTTGAGGCTTTGCTGTGAGGGGCGGGTTGGGCTTAGGATATAGTACGTGGAAATGTCAGTTTGTGACACACAGGATGAATGATGTAAGGGCCAGCGATGGTCAGGTTTCAACCAGACCCGTTCTTTGAATGTCATCACTTTATTTAGACGTATGCAGGGAAAAATGGCATCTGCCATGTGTCTGTGCAATTTATGGTGGAGCGGTCAATATTTGTGTGCTTGCATTAGAGAGAACTCGAGAGCAAAACTTCCCCAGGAAGGGATTCCACTATGTATGAAACTTTTCCTGCCTTACAACCATCTCGTCTATGTATTCAACATGCATGTGTCAAGGAGGGCTGTGGGGTAGCAAAGCACCAGCAAATCTTAATCCGCACTAGCATGTAGAACTGGCCTGTGTGAACCCTGAGGACACTCACTACAAGTTCCCTAGTTAATGTGGTACTCCTTGTAACAGGACTATGTTAACGTGCACTAGAGAACTTTTAGAATGTGCCAGCAGGGTCCATGCAGTCTGGTTAGCATGTGACATGCTGGCATGGCTAAAATTTACACCCCTGTGGTGCGGGCTAATGCACTGTGTAGAGGATCCCTAAGAAAGTTTGGAATTTGAACTTTTTTTGGAGCAGACTTTACTTTCACTTAACATTACTTGTTTGCTTTATGGCTCTTTCCTTTTTCCTCCCTCTCCCTCCCTCCCCCTCCCCCCCCGCCCCGTCACCCTGTATTGCCCTCTGCCAAGAAGTCAACAAGAGACTGGAATGACTCAAATGGTAATGACAAGTATTGATATCACAGATCTAGGCCATGTTTCTGATGTTCTGCCCAGGTAGCACTGGGAGCATACCATTAGTAGAGATGGAACCAAAATAAAGCAAAATTGGTCTGATCTGAATAGAGACTTGCAAGTATGTTGTTGTTTGGTCACCCGTGGCCTTACTTAAGTAGCCACCAAATTCTTCTCTTGATTTGGTGTCAGTCCAGTCAAGAAGATGGCCATGTTGCAATTGGCAATCTCTGTGAAGGACTAAATAGAAAACGGAAACTGAATTAGTATCTTCCCATCCCAGGTCTTTTCCTCGAGATCATGGTTGAGGCGCACAGGTGGGGGGAAGGCAAGGGAAGTTTGTTCTCTGTCTGTTACCTCCATCCTATCGATAAACAGAAAACTGATCTCCAGTCAGGTGTTCCACACATTTTATCCATATCAAATTCATGCAGTGAATATAAGCTGAACATTTATTTAAGCTTTAGATGTAAAGTACTGTATGAATTAATAAAAAAAAAAATCTATAAACCCAAGTTGCTGTAAAGTGAATCCAACAAGAACATCCCTTACCTGCAAAATGGATGTGTGTGTACTTATATATAATGTTAAGTGTGCATATACCCTTTCCAGTTTTGCTAGGTGGCGTCATAATGCATTACAACTTGTTTTATGGATGGTAATAAATTTACTTGGCCAGAAATCAAAAGTTTCCTTTATAAGCAAGATTAAAAAATCCTTGTGAGATGTTAATTCATGGATATCCAATGTTGTGTGACAACTCTTTCCCTTAGGGCAATAAATCTAGTCTGGGGTGATACAAAGGAGAGCATGAGGTCTCATAGACAGGTTCAAGATTACTAATTATAGGGGAAGCTGTTAACAGCACCTACAGTTAGACTGTCTAACACTTTCCATTTATAAAACATTATTCTTATACTCTTTTTTTATTAGATATTCTATCGCCTCCATTGTTGCAGTAGATAGACCTTTGAAATTTGGCAGAAGGAAAGCCCTGGGGCTAGAGAAGTGCCTTTTCTTTGTCCCTCTTAATTCCTTTAAGTTTTGCTGAGCTATAAACTTTTGAAAATCACCATTTCCTTTCGGTTGCTTGCATTTCTCAGGAAACTTTTTGGCAGCCTGTCAGAATAATCCCTGACCATGAACATTCTAAGGCTGGACCTCTGCTGCCGCCGCCACCCAATGCAGCAGCTGCAGATGCTGCACTGGAAATGTCCAGGAATTCCCAGAGCAGCTGTTGCCTGGGAAAACTGGGCCAGGTTATCCTAAACCAAAAATAGCACATGCCTTCAGTGACACATCCCTCCATTTGGGGGCACCACATGGGGAAGTGGGGAGACAGCAGTTGGGCCTAGATCCCCCTGACCATTCAGCAGCCCATCCCTATCCCGGGATAAGAGTGTCTTGTCTGACAGCTAATGTAGTTAGTCCTGCAGCTCAAGTGGTAGCAATCAGTGCTGAAGATTCATGATTCAGATCTTTGCTCATGATGGTGCAGGAAGATATGGTTCTACATAAGAACAAATTTTGTACCTTATCCCTAGGAAATTACATACAAAAAACTATGTTAAAAGAACATTATTGAAGAACTAGAGGTCAAGCACGTGAAATTTAGAAAATGCCAGATTTAAGGTTGCTTGTGCATCCTTAACTCTGTCACCTTCTGCCTATGTACTATGACACAGTTGTTAATTACATGATCACATACTTTTTTCCCCAAACGGTGCCGCCTTTTCCAGTGCAGATGTTGGATGACTCAGGGGGTAGAAATAACTTGGCCAAACTTAATGAACGTGGACAATCTTAAATCTAGCATTTCCTAACTTTTGAGTATTTAACTTTGCAACCTAAACAATGTTTATAATAGGATTTTTTGTATGTGGTGTGTGTATATTATGCCTAAATTATTTAAGATTATGATGTATAAAATCTAGTTGAAAAAATATAATTTGGGACATTTCAAACTAAAACATTAGTCTAGATTCTTATCTTGATTTATGCCATCCTAAAACTGGATTAACTACTTTTTTCAGTGGACAGTGAAACCAAACAAGTTACTTGAGGTTTACTTTAGTGTTACTGAGATCAGAATCTGGCACTGTATTTGCCAAAGTTAGCAAAACCAGCACACTAGTTTTTGTTAAGGCTGTATAGAATATTCCATGAGAAATTAAAATTACTCAGTATTTGCAGTATTTTTGATTACTGGCAGTGTTCACAAATATTCATACCTGGCTATATTGAAGTCTATGAAAATATTTTTCATATCATAGAGCGGGTTGAAAAATGTTTTTTATTTCCATGAAAAATGCGGACCAATATTTCCCCCCATATTTGGGTTCAAGAAAGAATTTTGTCCTGGGACAGATTGGCAGCGACCCTGGGGTTTTTTCGCCTTCCTCTGCAGCATGGGGCATGGGTCACTTGCAGGTTTAAACCAGTGTAAATTATGAATTCTCTATAACTTGAAGCCTTTAACTCATGATTTGCGGACGTCAGTAACTCGGCCAGAGGTTAGGGGTCTGTTTCAGGAGTGGGTGAGTTTCTGTGGCCTGCAATGTGCAGAAGAGATGATCATGATGGTCCTTTCTGACCTTAAAGTCTGAGTCTATGAGTGACAGTGTAGTGAGAGAGAATTGTATTGCTGCTCCTCACTGTGATTCCTTTGGGAGGTGAGCTCATATTTGAATGATGCAGCGCAATATGAAGCGTTTCTGCCATTGCTGGGAAGCAACCAGATAGTGTCTGGATTAACGCATTGAGTCTAGAGACCGTTACACGTGTGTGTGTGTGTGTGTGTGTGTGTGTGTGTGTGTGTGTGTGTGTGTGTGTGTGAGAGAGAGAGAGAGAGAGAGAGAGAGAGATCTCATTGCACACTGTTACATTTTTTTCATTTACGTATCCAGAATGGCAGATCCTAAAGTTCTGTTTATTTAATATACTATGCTAGGGATGACAATATGTTTGCTGCACAAAATAGAGAGGCTGTGCCTCAGTTGACTCGCAGTGTCAAAAGACAGGCACAGAGAAGATAGGATCCTTTTGTTTGATTTAATGCTGCTGTTATTGACTCAGCTGTGCTGAGAATCATAGATGAAGAGCAAATCATCAGGAGGTCCTGGAATGAGGGAAAGGGAAGTGGCTTGGCAGGTGGGATTTCCCCATGCAGAATGCCCTCCCAATGTGTAAAGGGGCTCTGAGATGGGAGGAGGAGGAGATGTCAGGGCATCACTAGCAGAGTGGAGGGGTTCAAAGGTCCGTTTCAGGATGTAGAACCTTGAAGGTTCGGACAAGGAATTTCGAACATGATGCCATGGACAAGGGGGAGCCATTGGAAGGGTTTAAAGAGGGGAGTTACATATTCAGATCAATGGACAAAAAAGATCGTTTTAGCTGCTGTATCTTGGATAGATATAGTAGCTATCTGGTGGGTCACTGGGCAGGTAAGTGGAAGATACAGGAATAGAACCCCTGGCCCTATAGGCTGGGCACACTGACTCCTTACAAAGAGAGCAGGCAGTTTTGTGGGTACCATTTCAAACAAACATAAATAACTCTACTCAGTCCATTGGCTAATAGAGCTGCTGTCCTGTTCCCCTATGCAGGTGCAAGTTCTTCAGTCTCACGGAAACGCCAGAGGACTATACGATCATTGTGGACGAAGAGGGGTTTCTAGGTAAGTCGCAGCACCTGCTGCTTTCTACTCTAAGCTGGGGCAGAGGGATGCGTGTTTGCCGTTTTGTCATTCTCCTGATCAGACCATAAACGGAGATGTTTGTACAACGGTTCTGTTGGTAAGTACCAGAAACACAGTTATGAAAGATGCTTTGATCATTTAAGCAGCCTGTCTCCACTGCTTTGCTGTAAAAGACATTTCACATATGGAATGTGAATAATTTGTAGTGCAAGTTGCCAAACTTTAAAAAAAAAAAAAAGAGGAGTATTGGAGAGCTTTTTGGAGGGAAGGGGGTTAACCAGAAAACCACCACATACAAAATGGTGGTGGACTTCTGGAAATGTAGTGGCCAGTCTTTTACCGACCCAGAGCACCCCCTCCTGATGTGACATGGCATTTCTGCCCCACTCTTCTGCTCGGTTCTTCCATTGTCTGGTACAGTGGTGGCTTGGCTCTGCAGCCAGGTCACATTCTAGTTCCACCCCTTCAGGGGTATCTGCCTCCCAAACAAATAATGTCTGACAAAACTGCGGGAATCAGCACAATGTCTTCCGCCCTTCCTGGGCTCCTCTTCAATCTTACTGTTCTTCTAGAGCAGCGGCTCGTAGGGCTCCTCCCAGGAGTAAACCAAATGAAAATGCAAACGAAGCCAATTCTGCTCACCCCAGGCTTGAGCGTCTAAGATAACCCTACAAAGTGTTTTGAGGTGAGCCCCCCCCAAGCATGGGTTGACAGAGTCAGGCTTGCAGCGCTCGCATTAGCGCTGTAAAAACAACTGTGTAGACAGCGCCCTGAAGTTGCAGCTCAGGCTGGAACTCGGACTCTGAAGACCACTCCCCTCCCTTGGCTTTAGAGCCCAAGCCATAACGTCAAAGCACTGTGTACACCGCTATTTTGAGAGCGTTAGTGTGAGCCCTGCTAGTCTAAGTCCTTCAACCTGGGCTGGGAGGCTTGCGCCCGTTCACTCCAAAATGCTGTGTAGACGCGCCCCATGTCCATATTCACTTCTCCCTCCATCTGGCTTCTCTCCGGCCCTTCTCACAGAGAGAGAACTCCGGACCCATCTCTCTCCTGGGATGACTCCTCCCAACTGCATTGACTGGATTGCTTCTTTTGAACTCCTCCCTGAGGCTGAGGCACCCTGCAGGTGTAACAAGGTGGAGCTAATGCGGCTCTCCGGCTCTAGTTAACCCCGCCTCGATTGATATGGGGTTTATACACCTCATCACAGAAGACTACAGTTACCTGCATGTTACCTACTGAGCTAGTTCATCATCCGCTCCCCATGAGCATATCCGATCGTGCGCCTCCTTATTGCCCTGATCTCCCCCCCCCCAATCAAAAGAAGTACTCGAAGATAAATATTGTATAGCCTCCACACCTATAAAAAGCCAAGAAATAGCTAGTTAACTCCTCACCCAACCCTTGCAATCATGATGTCACCTTCTCCATCTCTGCCACCCATAATACACACGCTACCTCCTTCCACGCAAAATGTGCTGCCTTCCACCTGACCATGTGCGCTGGGCAGAAGTGGATGTTTTCTCACTGGAATGTCTCATCAACCCTGTGTTGCCAAAAGTATGTTTGTGAGCTGTAGTTGTTTGTTTTAAGCGTGTGGTGTTGGACAGTTGCTTAATGGAGGGAACGGCTTGGCTTTGTAAGTGGAAATAATTTGTAATGGTGTTTATCATTTTGAGACGTTTTTATTTGCAGCAGTGTTATTTAGGTGATAGAATGAGGAAGTGTAGCACTGCTATTATTAATATTTTCAACAGCTGCTCTTTGCGGTTGCACTTAAAGGTTACACATTTTGCAAGTTTGAAGACAAAATTCAATCATTAAAGTGTGAAACAGGAATTTATTCTCTATAAAACTTATAACTATGGAGTTGCTGCCAATGCCACCATAATATTTAGTAGTTTTTGTGAGTGCTTATGACTTAAGAATCAAAGCATTAGGAGGAAAAATTAAATGGCATGCCATCCTTATTAGTGGTAGATTAATAATTGGTAACAAATGATTATTTCCGTGAATTACACCCTTTTTATAAGAGCAGTCATGAACAGATCACAGTTTTCTTGATTGTATTCCTCTATTGTAAATTGTTGGTTTAAATAATTTCTTTAAGCACCTGGTCTGTAAAGTGTTCATGAGAGATGTTGGTTTTGATGGAAGATGGAGGTCACATGCTACTGTTTTCTTCCCTGATAGGAAGAATGTAACGCCTGTGTTGTGTTTCTAGAGCAGATGTTCACCGTAACTGATTCAGAACGTGTTTCCTATGAATGTTCTGTAGTGTTTGTATTGTGGTGACCCCCAACTGAGATTTAACCCTCAGCAGAGTAGCATATAGTCCTTGTCCCTGAAAAACTTACAGTCTAATGGGAGAGACAGACAAAAGGTGAGGAGGGGAAGAGATGTGCTAAAGATCACAGAGCATGTCAGTGTTGGAGCAAGGAAGAGCGCCCCGGTGTCCTGAGCGCCAGTCTAGAGCCCTAATCACTAAACCATGCTGGGTTTCTAAATTTGCTGCATTCGATGACATGCCATCGCCAGGGCTGCATATGTGGCAGTAATATCCATATGGGAGTGGTTCTTTGGCCTGATCTATACTGAGGATTTGCCCCAATTCCAGCCATTGGTGGCCACAGCCCGGGCGCTATAATTGCACCAGTGCAACCCCTAGTCTAGGTAGGCAAAGTTTCTGTTGGCACTAGTGAAAATTACCCTTGCTTGAAACTGGAGTAAACTCAAAATAGCAGTTTTGCCTGTCTACAATAGGAGTTGCACTGGAGTAATTATACCAATGATGTAATCAGAGCAAATCCTCGGTCTAGACGGACGCTTGTCTTCAGGTAGCTTGGTGAGTCAGTATTGCCCCAGGACACCTCGGTGAGTCAGACAGTGCCACCACATTCAAGTAGCAGTTTTCTGATTTGATGATTTGGACTTAATTTCCCCTTCGCAGGCATGTTGCTGCTTTCCTGGTTTCCATACATGTGCATATCTGCTGATGACTGTCCTACTAACATTGCAGCCTCTAACATTGGGTTCAATGACAATGGATTAAGTAGTGGTGGTATCAAGAGGATAATTATAATGGCATTTTAGCCTAGACAGTCTTGCATGCATCCATCCATCCACACATACATTGGCTCTTTCTCCATATTTGAATATGTTGTCTGTGGCTAGCTTCTCCGAGCAAGTGGGTAACTGCGTTCTGTATCAGCTATTACATCTAAATGGTATTTAAGGAGAGTCATAATGCAATAATCTGCAAAGCGTGACTCACTCCCAGGCAAATTGCTGTGGATGTGTAACCAGTCGGAGACTGAGGAAAGGTATTTTGGCCCCTGATCGCCCCAGCAATTTCAGAAGCAACTGTGAATGCAAAAGTATCCCCACCCTACAATCTGTTGGATGAAGGGGGGAGACAAATGCCCTAATTTCTTCCTGCCTTACTCACAAGGTCTGTCCCCCAGCTCGTTAATATCCCCTCTGTCTTGTCTGAATTGAGTTCAAATACTTTGTCCTCAACCAGATTCCAGTCTCAGCCAGGCACTGTGACAGCAAAGACACTGCACCATCTGGGCCTGATGAAAATGGGACCAAGCTGCAGGTAGTCATTGTATGGATGGCAATTCAGGCTGAACCATGTCCATCTCTCCCCCATCAAACACACAGCAAACAGGAGGGATGGTGAAACAGAGCCTCCTGGGACAGAAGGGAACCACTCCAAAGTGATACTGCCTACCCCAACCGGGGACTGGGGGCCAGTTACTAAAAACAGTATCGGCAACAGTATGCAGGGCTACTGACAGCTTGGCTGAATCGCTGCTGTGCCTAGCTAGTAATGGTCTACATGCTGTCCTACGTCAAAAGTCTGCAAGTTTCTGGCCAGCTCTCAACCCGGCACACAAACACACTGGGCTAGTGTCTGAAATTCAGGCCTCCTTCCTTTATTCTCAGTGGTTTCCCCATTATTCTCAAGGAATAACAATAAAATCTCAGCATAAATTTCCTCTTGAGCTTACCTCTTTTACCATTGTCCCAGCTGGGTCCCTGTCCTTGCTCCCAGTTCCCTTGGTCGGATTCAAAGCCTTTAATGCACCTGGGTTGGGGCCAGTAGCACCTACCTAGGATGGCTGTGTGGTTAAGCTGGCAGAAGGGCTCTACTTTTCTAATGCTGCACTGATACAGCCTGACTGGCAGGGATCAAGGACACGTGAGGACTTCAGTTTGTCTCACCATCACCTTCAAAGGGAAGATCAAAGGCTAAAGACTTTTTTTTTTTAATAGGGGCCTAACTTTCTTTCATCTGGGAGATGCTTACACCTTACCTTCCTGTAGGGGAGCATTAATAGTCTCAGCCTAAAATGGGCCCGCTACATCTCGTTTTGATTTAAGTAGCTGAGAGGTGCCTGGATCCAACTCAAAGTTGATAGGTTGAATCTTTTCCCTTGGTGAGCAGTGCTGGCAGGATCTCCCCAAAGAGGAGACGACATGGACCAACCCGCCACCAATCCCTGCTGCTGTTCTCCACAAAGTGGGGGATCTGACTCTCTCTGTCAACTGCCCTGGGCGAGACTTTGCAGATGCAACAGCGAGGAGGATGTCCTATCACCCAACGCCCTTTTGAGCCATCCAGGCCTCTTCCACTGCCAACAGCAATCAGGAAAAAATTAGGCTGGAAAAATATTAGCCGTTTCAGCTATGCTTTAGGTTGAGGTTTTTGTAGGCTGTCGTGTTTGTTAGCACTCCACACTTAATGACGTGCTATAATCACTGTTAACTGCTCTGACTAAAAAAGGCATCTCAAGAGTTTGTTTGCTTGGGAATAGGAAGAGAGGCAGGCTAGTAAGGATGCCATCATCTCTCCACCCCAGAAAATGACTGCTAACATTTAATTCCCTGGTGGTGGTGTGAGGGTTATATCAACACTGATCCTGACTGGTTCCAGTGGTGGTTTCTTGGGTGGTTTCTTTTTACGGGGAAAGTCCTTGCACTAGCCTGGTAACGCAGGGAGATAATGCACAGAAAACTCTGTGCCCGAGTTGCTGCTGAGTCATATTAGCAAAAAAAGAGTTTGGTCATGAGCTTGTCCTGTGTGAAAACAGGTGACTGAGTATGTCAGGGGCTGGAGCGCTTGAATAAGTATTGTGAAATCCTCATGCACGTCACCTACAGCATATTCAGCACATGGCAGAAGATGAGGCGCTACGTTTGGGAATATACAT